CTGCAAAGACACAGAAAGTATGTCAGCTCGTTTTGCTGTTCTCGAGCCCAGGAATCTGATCACAACTCAGAACAGCCCCTTTGAAACCCCCCTCCCCCCCCCCCTTCCCACCCTTGACGTACAAACTAGCCCCTCGAAAATCACTAGAGAACCAAGAAGCCGATCCCATATCACCCTATGTTTTCTTTGTTTCAGCGTCTCTATCATTTTATGTATATATGCATATTTAAAACTACCCAAACAAACAAACAAACAAACAAATGTTTGCACTGCTTCTCGTACTAAATATAGGAGCCAGAGCACCAATCTAGCATTCCGTATGCACTTAAGAATAAATCATTCGTAAACCAGAGCAACTGTGCGAGAAATAAGACATAAATGACTCCGCAGTGAATAATCTGGTGTGATGTCCTGGTTGGGTACAACATACATAAATACATACATAATTGGTGTTGTGCGGACATTATAATTTCATGATATGGCCTCATCAGTACAAGGGATATAATCCATGATAAGCTAACCTATTTATTACTGCAGGCAAGATTTATAAGATGAAGTAACAAAATGTAGAAACAAAACTGGAAAAAACAGAGTTGGCGCAAATTATTTCGGTAATGCAGAGTAAATCACGATATGTGTGAATAAATCATGAACAGGCAGCAGAAAGTGTGTGGAGGCTGTAGATACGTGATTTACAAAAGTAAGGCTTACCAGCGATACATAAAACACAAAGCTCTAACACCTCCCTTCCCCCTCCCCTTTCCCCCCCCCCCCCCCTTTTCCTCCCCGACCCCTTGTAACGAAGATATTTTGAAATAAATTGCTAGAACACCATGTTGACAATTTCCCTCCGATACTGATAAGTTGAGCGGTAATCGGGTTAGTCCACTTTATAGGCATCAATAAAACCAGTTCAAATAAACAGTTATTAGCTTTGCGCAGTGGCGGTATCATAGCCAGTGAGGTTTTACCTAGGCGTGGTGTGATATTGAGATGTCGTCCTTTTGTGGGATGCAATTTTTCGTTATTTGAAGCCCCACCCTTGCTTTTGCCGGGGCAATGAATATAGCTGGGCCACAATTGTGGCCATACCGGCTGAAAGGGGTTTCTGGGACCTCTCCACGGGTGATCCTCATCGGCATGGTGGCACCTTGTGTCACCGTGTGTTTATCGCTTGTGTGATGTCCTAGTGGGGTACAACAAGCAAGCAAGCAATAGTCACAGTTACATGTGTCCTCTTTTTTTTTTTACCATTCTGTGTTGCGTAAAAAATGTAAATGCACACAGAGCTCATTGTTTTTAGCAAATATACATCTCTCTCTGTCTCTCTCTCTCTCTCCCTCTCTCTCTCTCTCTCTCTCTCTCTCTCTCTCTCTCTCTCTCTCTGTGTGTGTGTGTGTGGGAGGGGGGGGAGAGAGAGCGACCGTCTTAAAACGTCCAATCCTGTATACGTTCTCTCTTTTTCTCTCACTAATGAGTATTAGCAAAGACATAATCTGCTAATTACAGAAGCCATTAAGTTAATTCTTTATAACTGGAATACAAATCCAACAACGGTTAATCTTGATAATCTTGATAATCTTGGTAATCTTAGTTTTAGCTTCATAGCAAAGGGGTCACCCCATAGTTGCTCCTCTCCTATGCCACCAAAAAGCACACAGAATGTTCATCACAGTCCCTTGTGGCAAGATTGACAGACTGCTGTCTTAGCATATGCACTAGTATACACACGCATTAAAAGCATACGGTAGCCATCAGAAGTGCCAACATAAATGGTCCGACATTAGAAATGCAGTTCATTAGCGACGGTAGCAAAAGTTACCAACAGATCAGCAGTTGCACACGCGATCAATTTTAATCACATAAGGATAAGGGCATCACCAATATTGCGATTTCTACAATTCACAACACTGGTTGGTCACAGTCGAAAAACATTCCAAATGAAATCCGCATCTCACATTGTCGCGCCGTGCACTCATCTCAGTAGCTGAGTGACGAAATTATATCCTTTCAGTCTACAAATGGAGCAAAAATATAACGGCCATCGTTAAATTTGCCACGACTCAAAACAGTGGCTTTGCCTGGCGTCCATTTTGACCGGAAGTAACAACAACAATCAAACGCAACTGCCTATTTTACCACTCCAGCCGCAGTGTTGGGATTATGTCTTTCTGTTTACAGAGTTCAGGACTGATTTAATCATCTGTAAACAGACTCCACTAGAAACCTCAGCGGAAAGCTGGTACATTGTCTTTTGCGCTCGGCAGGAAGCCGGTAACTTAAGGCCGAACCATTAAGAGGGACACTGCCTTGTTCAGACTGCAGAAGAGAAGATAGATGTGACTGTCCGGACTTCCAAGGTCGGACTGAGATCGATGTCACCCTCCGGACTTCCAAGGTCGGACTGGGACCCGTCGTTTGAAATGTAGATGTCGTTTGATGTACGAGCGGTTGCTTGTGTTGGCGTGTTTGGGTGAGTCCTCAACAAGAGTCTTAGTATTTTGCACATTTTCTCATCTGTTGATCAAGTTTGTCTGTCAATACAACAATGGAACTTATCTCATAGCGTTCATTGTTGAACTGCGTTTGGAAGCATTGTAGTTCCTACTGTTCTACCCCACTTGGCTGGTGGCATTGTATTCTTTGTCAAGATGTATACATTTGTACCTGATTTCGCATTCCAACGGGATCCTACGCCTCTCAGCAAGCCGCCCCACGTCACAGTGGAAAAGGGTGGAGCGGGGGGGGGGGGGAGATCTCATCTTTAGACCTTTAATAAGTATTAGCTAAAAAGATCTCCTCTATAGACCTTAGATAAGTATTAGCTAAGAAGATCTCTATAGACCTTAGAGAAGTATTAGCCAAAAATATCTCCTCTATAGACCTTAGGGAAGTATTAGCCAAGAATATCTCCTCTTTGGACCTTAGGGAAGTATTAGCCAAGAATATATCCGCTAAAGACCTTAGAGAAGTATTAGCCAAGAAGATCTCCTCTATAGACCTTAGATAAGTATTAGCCAAGAAGATCTCCTTTATAGAATTTAGATAAGTATTAGCTAATGAGCTTTCTCCGAGCAGCTAGGAAGACCTCCTTTATAGACTTTAGATAAGAATGAGCTAAGAATATATCCTTCAATTTTAGATATTAGCTAAGAATATCTGGTCTGGATTATATTGACAGACAGAGAATAAAATGGTTCGGTCACCTAGTTAGAATGCAGCCAGACCAAGCTGCATATGGGGTTTATTGCAGCAGAACATCTGGGAGGAAGTCGAGAGGAAGACCAAGAAATACATGGATAAATGGTATAGCAGAAATCTGCAAAAAGATGAACAATTCTTCACACAAGCCACCCAAGAGGCGCAAGACAAATAGAGAAAACCACGACACTGGTCTACAATCTGGTATCAGTAAGACGACAAAAGAAGAAGGAAGAAGAACCTAAGAAGATCTCTACAGACAATAGATAAGTATGAACAAATGTTGAATGTTGAATTGAGTACCAACGTTATAGCACCCGGAACACGCCTATCTTCAGCAGCAAACGAAGAATTCAAATTCAGATGGCACCAGTAACTGTCTGATTGTGTATCCGTCTCACCTTTTCCTTGAGTGTTGAGCGTTGGCCAGATCCCTGGTCACTCCTCGCAGCACCATTCTCCTCAGACCGTGTGATCTATTGGGGCCTCGGCACTGTTCACTCGCTCCCTTGGGGCCCTCACAATATTTAGCTTCCTATACATTAATTCACCACCAAGTTGTGCAGAACCGACCAGTCTATCTGCTGCTCATTTACCAACACACCGGCATTACCTGTAGAATATATCCAAAGGACGTTAACTACCCGGGATATCTGAAGTGATGCTTGCCACTCTGTACGAAGCATGCCTGTCTCCATCTTTCTCAACATGCTCTGTGATTCAGTTACAAATACGACATCAATGTAAGGCAGTAGAAGGCAGCAGTGACTGCCTCCACCTCCATTCTCAAACTACACGTTATGATATCAAATGCCAGGCTTTGTTGCACCAAGGAACGGCCATTCGCTTTTGCTATGAACACCCAGTGCACTTCGTCTGCCTGTCAACAAAGTCATCAGTATAGATAATCAAATCACCTGGGTTGGAATTGTCATTATTCATTTGATGAACGTCTGTTTCTGCAAGATCAGCTGTCCAGACCCTGCACTAACGACCTAAAGTGATTGTAGCCCTACACAAATCTTATTCTAGGTCGGATACTTCGAGTATGAACTAAGAGGAAAACCCTTGTATTTTAATTATCCACCATGTTGATGACACAATGTTAGATTGTCTAATTAATTCATAGTACAATTTATAACATAATCACAACATAAATCAAAGCAAAACGTAAAAAAAAATTTAAAAAAAAGTAAAGGACCCTTTCCACGCCTTTAGGCGTATAGGGCATATAGGGCTAGACCTATATTTTTATAGACCAACGGCACAAGATGGGTTATGTGGTCAGCATCACGCCAAGCAAAACGTGGTACATTACAAATTATATATTGATTATATAAATAATTACATGATATATAATATAAAATAACAAATTTATACTAAGAGAACTAAAATAGGAGTGTGTTTAATAGTTTATCCCAGTCATAACCTTGAGGTTTGAACAGGATATTTTTTTTTTATTCACTACTACTATTTAGAATAAGCAAAAAAGATTTCCTTACATTTATGTGTTAGCTTAGAAGATCTCTCTTACATGTAAGTATTAACAGCTAAGATCCCCTCTGCCCTTTTTTCAAGTAAGCATCACGATCTGTGCCATGTCTGTTAGTCTAGTCTGTGAGTATACGTGCCATTGATTGTGTAAACCGGCCCGTGATAACCCAGTTGCTTATTTGACCTGACAGAGGTGAAAGTTCATGGCTGATATTCCCCCGTCGCTTTACGAGGTCACTTCTGCAGCTGTAGTGGCGGCGTGAACATCATCACCTTGTTATTTAACGCTCTAGAAAAACTCAACAATGTCAGCTGAAACTGAAAGAATTAGACTACACAGCGGCAGATCCATTCCAGTTTTAGGATTAGGAACATTGGCGGATTTGCAGGTAGGCATTATTCATTATTGTGTTTGCTTTGTAACTTAGAAGCTCGCAGGGGTAACTTTTTTGGTTGGCAACTTTGTAACGATTGGTATGACTATGTAGTTCATAAAAAAAAGTGTTTGTACACGCACAGAGCACGCTTTTCAAGTGCACACCATAAAATACATGATTCAGTTATGTTTATGCATCATATGCAAGTTTCTTTGTAAGTCTAGTGTATGCGATGAATGTTCAGAAACATAAAACATGTATATTTCGCCCATGTTCTCAGTATAGGTTTGAAGTGCAGAAGACTTCTCATTCTCGGTTAGTGGGCCAGAACAGGACAAAAACCCGCTAACAGAAGTAGAATAGTGCTTAATTTCGTGCTTGTTGTTGAAGGACAATGGCCTGCAAATGTACTGTTTAATGCTTCAACTAGAAAATGTTAAGTAACAAGTGAACTCGAAATTCATTGTACTAGAAAATTGCTGAGGCATCCACTTAAAGGAGCTTATTTTACTATTTAAAAAAAAAAGAAGGCTGCAGTGTTTAATGGATTTAGCACAAGGATTTAAAACATTGGTTCTCCTTAAAACTACGGCCACTTATTATGGAGTACGCCGGAGTTCAGTCCCCTGGCCGCATTGCAATTACTGAGTGGAAAGGAGGGAACGAAACAAATGACGTATTTACTGTGTGTTGGCGATAGATGCACTGCTGTCATAATAGGGTTAGGATTAGGGTTTGGGATTGGGTTAGGGGTAGGGTTAGGAGTGGCCGTAGTTTTAAGGAGTACAAATACTCTAACCCTAACCCTATTATGACAGCAGTGCATCTATTGCCAACACACAGTAATTATGTCATCGGTTCACGCTATCGTCAACACACAGTAATTATGTCATTTGTTTTGTTCCCTCTTTTCCACTCCGTAATTGCAATGCGGCCAGGGGACTGAACTCTGGCGTACTCCATAATAAGTGGCCGTAGTTTTAAGGAGAACCATAATTTCTAGTACCATTAATGTAATTAACGCTGTCCTGTTCAACCCTTCTGTGTTATAATTGTGTTTTTAATGCACATTTATGTTGGTCAGTAATTTTTGGTAATTTAATATTGCATGGATTATGTATTGTAAAGATTGTAAGACTATAGATTGTTAAGTTGAATATATTTTAATAATTTTATGTTTCCTTTATAAGGAATCAGTATTGCAAAGCAAAATACTACAGCCGGATGAACCTAAATAAGATAAAGGAAATTTAGCGATCTCTACTGTTTTATTGTTATACTGCATTTCAACAGGTATAAACGGCATAGAAAAATGCCCACTCTCTCTCTATCTCTCTCTCTCCCCCTCACTCTCTCTCTCTCCCTCACTCTCTCTCTCTCCCTCACTCTCTCTCTACCTCTGTCTTAGTTTTTTATCCTCCCTACTCCCCCCCCACCCTCCCCCAACTGCTCCTGCTGTGGCTGTGACTGCCCTCTTAGACCGTCCCAATGCCTCTCATACTATCCGGGTAGCTACCATATCCTGGGTCATCCTAGCACGCACCCAGGAGTAAAGGAGAGGGGTGGGGAGCAAGAATGAATAAAACAGTTAAGAAATTAGCTGCTGCTACTTCAAGAATTAAAGAGTGTTTTGTAATGTATACATTCTTTAGGGGCCGCATTAGCACAGTCGATAGGAGGCTCACTTTCAAATCCAGCTGCGACTCACTGCGGCCCATGGCCGGTGTTCGAAACCAGGCGGTTCCCGGAGTTCACCCAGCCTCTAGGAAATGGGTACCAGAGTTGACACTCTGGAGTAAATGGATAAATGGCGACACTGGCGAACAGTTTCTTATCAGCTGTCCGTGCTGGTGGCAGAGCACTTATGGTTTATAACCGTGTGCAAGGAGGCTGGTTCATATCTCCTGACTTTACCTTTCTTTTTTATACATTTACTAGTTTTATGCGTTAGCGGTCTGAACTCTTTGTCTTCCCCCTGCTGTCTTCCTGTCAAGTTTGCTATTTGTTTTTTCCCTGCTGTTTCATGTTTCCCTTTTTCTCCTCATGTTGAGTTTGCTTTTTTGTCATTCTTATCTTTGTTATCAGAATGACAAATTATCTTTCTTCCTCTTTCCATTGCTCTCTTCCTGTCAGATGTGCTATTTGTCAGTCTGATCTCTTTGTTTTCCCGCTGCTCTCTACCTGTCAAGTCTGCTATTTATCAGTCTGGTCTCTTTGTCTTCCCTTTGCACTCATCTTCCCATTGCTCTTGTCCTGTCAAGTTTGCTGTTTATCAGTCTGGTCTTTTTGTCTTCCCTTTGCTGTCATCTTCCCATTGCTCTTGTCCTGTCAAGTTTGCTGTTTATCAGTCTGGTCTCTTTGTCTTCCCTTTGCTGTCATCTTCCCATTGCTCCTGTCCTGCCAAATTTGCTATTTATCAGTCTGGTCACTTTGTCTTCCCTTTGCACTCATCTTCCCATTGCTCCTGTCCTGCCAAATCTGCTATTTATCAGTCTGGTCACTTTGTCTTCCCTTTGCTGTCATCTTCCCATTGCTCCTGTCCTGCCAAATTTGCTATTTATCAGTCTGGTCACTTTGTCTTCCCTTTGCTGTCATCTTCCCATTGCTTCTGTCCTGCCAAATTTGCTATTTATCAGTCTGGTCACTTTGTCTTCCCTTTGCTGTCATCTTCCCATTGCTCCTGTCCTGCCAGGACATTTGCTATTTAATAATCTGTTCTCTTTGTCTTTTCCTGCTCTCTTCATGTCAAGTTTGCTGTTTGTATTTTCCTTGCTCTTTTCATCTTTCCCTTGCACTCTTTGTGTCAGGTTTGCTATTTGTCAGTCTGATTTCTTTGTCTTCCCTTTACTCTTGTTTCGTTGAAGTTCGTTATTGATCAGTCTGATCCTACAAAAAATGTCTCATTGGCTCTGTTTAGCTGATCAAAATAGTTGTGTATGTACATATAGTTATTGAGTGGGGGAGGGGGGTGTTATAAATATGTTCAAATAAGTTATGACATCCCAATTATAGAAAACAAGACTATAAAGACCTGTCTTTTGTCTGAAAAACTTACTTATATTTATAGTACAATTTGTATATTTACAGTAATATTATTGATTTATTTACAGAAATACTCTAATGTTGGAGTGCACAACTTTCATGTTGTTAGGTCATCATTTTAAGGAACCTGTTTATTTATGAGGGCATTCATTGTTTGCGACATTTGTGCACTACAAATATTCTCATACCCATCTATAACATGACTTGTTATTCTGAGAAACCAAAGAGCTTTTATTGGTTGACATCAGTTGATAAAGAAATGGCTTTACTTGACAAATGTTGTGTCAACAAGTGGCCCATAGTTCTGCAATTAATTTGAATTATCAGCAGTTTTCTTGTCTTAGATTAACAAATAATAGCTTTTTACTTTGGAAATGCTGCCTGCTGCATGATTGTATTTTCAGTAGTACAATTAAAAATATAACATGAGAGATGAAAAAACACATTGTTTTGTATCTGTGAGTTTGATCAGTGCAGTAGCCCCAGTGTTCTTTAACACTGGGGCCACAACACATTAGTGGGCCGCCCACTTCTTCTTCTTCTTCTTCTTCTTCACTTCCTCTTTTACCGCTGTGGGTGTCGAGGGAGATATAAGGTTCTGTTTCTAGCTCTTCTGGCTGCCTCGACCATAGGCACATCGTGCTGTTGTAGAGTTTCTCTGATGTTATCCTTCCATCTTGTTCTTGGTCTACCCCGTGCTCTACGTCCTTCTTCTCTTTCCATGTATGCTTTGTATGGTATGGTGTCACAAGGCATTCTCTCTAAGTGGGCCGCCCAAATATAGGCCTAATCATGTAAAGAGGTGGGGTATGTGGTTTTTCTATTCCAATCTGTAGGATCAACACCATAAGGACTTCCTCTCTGTATGAACATTTTTTCTCAGGCATGCCAATAAAAAAAATTGAATGCATGTTAATGTAGTGCCACATCTATCAGAAACAACGCTCCTGTCACATAACTTCTAAGCAGCAGATGTCACATAAGCTGAAAATTGTAATTTTGTTTATCAAGGAAATATGCTGTCTATATCTTTTTGTTGTTTCTATGTTTGATTATTTGTCAGGTGGGCCGCAAAACAGTTTCCATGTTTTGGTGTGCTGTGGGTGTAAAAAAAAGTTGAAGAACACTGCCATATTGTATTCAGTCATACTCGTACATCTGCTTGAGAGGCCAGGAACAATGTGCATACAACGCCTATAAAACAGATGTGCTTGCAAAACTCAGATTCTCAAACAAGACCAAAGTCCAGAAGTGGATAAACAACCAGAACTTTCCACTGAAGTTTACAGCAGGTGAACGCGAAGAAGAAGACACCTCTATAGGTTCACAAATTCTGCATTTGTACATCTGTAGAACATGATGTAGAAGTAGAAGACTCTTATCGCACCACTCACATGTCAGGTGTATGTTGCTGGAACCATTTTTTTTGTAAAGACACTGGTACTGGATGGGAAGAAAAACCTGGCACTGGATGGGGGAAAAAACCTGGCACTGGATGGTGAAAAAACTGGCACTGGATGGTGAAAAAAAAAACTGGCACTGGATGGGGAAAACTGGCACTGGATGGGGAAAAAACTGGCACTGGATGGGGAAAAACCTGGCACTGGATGGGGAAAAAACTGGCACTGGCACTGGATAGGAAATGTGGTAAACATCAGGTCAGCCACCTTGACTTTCCAGGACTTTTCCTTGTACTGATTTAAGGCTGGATCAACACCTGGGAGTTCCCAAGTCAATGAGCAAAAATATTCACAGAACATCATGAGGAACACTGAAACCTGATCTTTTTATTTTGTAGGGCATGGTACAAATAGTCCTATTAGCCTGGTTATTGTTGAATGACTGAACATGCACACTTATCTGTTGTTGTTTTTTTTGCTGAGGTCATACATAAATTTTCTGTCAGCTCAGGGACATAATAGGCCATGCTTGTTGTCTCTCGGTGTATGTTTAACATGTTTTGCAGAAAAAGCTTAAGAAAAAAATTGATGTCCTGAAAAAATTGAGCGTTTTGCTTTCACAAAGTCTATAAATAATAAATAGTGGAGAAAACTGTTGTAGTGAGGATAGCCAGATTTCTTCAACATGCCTAGACTAAATGCATAAAGTCAGACAATACTTTAAATGTTGATGGAATTCAATAGGAAGAGCACTTTACACATCATAAATGATTTAGAACTGATGATATTATAAACCTCTGACAACATATTGAAACAGTTGTCGGGGGCTACCAGATATCTGTAATCTTCCTTCTGATTTCTTCTTTGCCATCGCACAGAGCAGCACCTCTTTGCTTTTTTTTTCTCATGACCTTTATGTGTAGTAAGCATTCTCATGCCTTTTAGAAAGTGGCATGAGAGTCAAACCTTGGAATAAACTGGGGTCCCGCTATGTAATATTTCTATAGTCAGCAGCAAATTTATTGCAGCCAGTCTCTACTGTGGAAACAACACGATTTTAAAAAAAAAAGTTATATATAGTATTAGTCAGTCAAGTGTCATCTCTACAGTGTAAATTAGCTACAATAAATAATTTCTGCCTGTTTGTATTTCCGCAATACACCAACCAGGTTTCAAAATTGACAGCAAAAGCAATGCAGAGGCTAAAAAACACCATAAAGAACTAAGGGCACAGCACCTGCAACTAAGTTAAAATAAAAATTTTGACATGCATCTTTGCCATGGCAACCTATGGATGTGAGTCATGGATAATGGATAGTCTCTAAGGAAGAAAACTGGAGCTGTTGAACTAAAATGCTACAGGAAGATTCTGTTGTACACTGTATTAACCCCTGATATACTATTGCCAAGAATACTCACATGGGGTGAGATCTGGCAAATGACCCCGTTGCGACTGAGCTTTATCGTTCGTTCGGCGTACGATGTATTACCGTCGGTGTTAACATGGTTAAGTGGTCTGCGACTAACGATCCGACTTGCCCATTGTGTAAAGCGAAGCAGACGCTTGAACACGTCCTGTCCGCGTGCAGGAAAGCCCTAAGTCAAGGCCGATATACCTGGAGGCACAACAAGGTGCTAAAAGAGTTAGCAGCCGTTGTTGACCAGGCTAGAATGAGGGCTAACGCTAGAGCCAGTTCTACCATCGTCCCCATTCGTTTCCTCAAGGCTGGGCAGATTCAAAAAGGTAAGGTCAACCGAAACGCATTCACTCCATCTGTGCTAGACTCTGCGAGGGACTGGTTACTGTCGGTTGATCTGCCAGGCCATGAACGGTACCCCGAGTTAATCCGGAAGACCGGTCTTCGGCCTGACATAGTTCTCCACTCTGCGGAAAAATGGCAGCTCATCCTGATTGAGTTGACCGTCCCGTATGAGTCGCGTTTGGGCGAAAATCACCTGTACAAGCTCGAGAAATAGTGATTTAGCAGCTGGTCTGAGGAGAAACGAGGCGTACACGGTACGTGTCTTTGCCGTCGAAGTGGGAGCGCGAGGTCTCGTCTCCACTTAATTGTACAATGTGGTTAAAGAACTAGGATTGCGCGGTAATGAACGGAAACAAACACTTAAAAAACTGGGCGAGGCAGCCGAAAGGGCCTCGAGTTGGCTTTGGACGCAACGGAACAACGTAGGGGACGGGCCTCGGTGAGCTGGTCCGGGTTTCTAGTGGAAAAGGGTTTCTCACCCTTTGAAAGTCTATCGTGTCCGAATTGTCTGCCAGTGTTCCTCTGCCACCTGCTAACAAAAGTCCAACATGTGTCCAGTAAACCAAACGTAAGCTTGTCGCTCGGTCGTCCAGGCATGCTGACTGTTCTAATTAGGCTGCCCTGCCGCAACGACTTCTTATCTCACAGTACCTTCTGCAAATCACCAAGTCGTCTTGTCCCTATCCAAAAGAAAAACACCATCCGGTAATCTCGTGCAGCAGGGTACCAGCCCTGAGCTTCATGAACTCAGGTGGGCCCACCTCCGAAAGTGTCTAGGAGAATCGTGGGCCGAAACACTTGTCGACGAGGATAACTACTACTGATGACTGGTAGATCCCTGCTGTACTTGCTCCCTGTGAGTTTATTCCTAATGGGTGTACAGAGCACTTATTTATATTAGTTCATACAATGTCTATGTTGGAACATCGATACTCCTTAGTATCTATAAACAACCAAGTAGGGTGCCTACTCTAATATGCCGCTGGATCTCTCCTTGATGGATGTGCTACAGTCCTGCAAAATATATCAACTGGCACACTTGGCACAGCACCAGCAAATACAGTTGTGACTATACTGACGAATCAAAACTAACGACTTGTGACAGGCCACATAAACTTTAATGTCATTCACAGAATACGTCACAAGATGATGATGATTATTATATGTATGATAATAAATCTCTATTATCTACACGGACGATATAAAAGATTACAATCTTCACTTAATGGACTCCTGCCATTAGAAAACTAAATAGACATCACAATGTCTCCCGCAAACAGCGGCAAATCAAAACCCTCACAGAGAGAAAACATTTCTATAATATCCTCATAAAGAGAAGACAGCCAACACAATGTTTCCGCTAACCCGCGGAAACATACGTCCGACTTCGAAGCTAGCAAAATCGCAACTGCTTGTCCCTCTGTCTTCTATCCCCAGAATTCAATTAAGTCTATAATTACCTTCGTCTAGGTAACGACTCGTGGCCGCCGTGTGACCTTTACCTGTGCTGTTCCTGCTAGACGACATTTTAACTCTTGGCCAAATGAGACTACAACAGATTCTGAGAATACCATGGACCAAGAAGGAACAAAATGTCGGCATCCTTCATGACCTGAACATCAAGAAGAACTGGCTCGTAAACAGCATTCTGCCCTGAAAGCTGAGATATTGTAGACATGTCGTGCACCAGGCTGGTCTGGAGACAACGTTAATGCACTTTCCAGAAAACAAGGCAGAGACCTACCTCCGCAAACCTGGATACAGGACATTGAAAGCACACAGGGCTGGAAAATTGGTTACAGAAAGGAAGACTTTCCGGTTTACTGTGAAGAGAGCATTGTTTTGTGAAGGATTTTGTAAAGGACACGCTGACTGATTAATTGTGGGTGTTGCAAGGAATAATAAAAACAGTACACACAGTTGTTAGCCTTTTCCGTGCTAAGGGTGTCCACTATTGCAGGCATTGGTTCTCCCATATCTAGTGTAATTTCTGGGTTATCAAATTCACATTGGAGACATCTGACCTAGAAGGTTCTCATGCACAGACGTGTGTGTCATATGTTGATCACCCTGGCCTGGCTAGATAAGGAAAAGAAGGACAGTGGTAATATTTGCTCAACAGCACACAAAAATAACCACTATCGCTATCAGATTGCATATGTCAACAAATTGGCGTCTCTCTTATCTGTCTCACCAGGTCCTTCTGATGGTAGCTGCCAAGTTAAATTACATTTGTTTGCTCACTTATTGCTTGTGGGAAGTGTCTGTGGTGGTGTTCAAACAAAGAGTGAAGAATCTGAGTTGTAATCTTTGGGCTGGGTAAAAAAAAAGTTAACCCTGTCTATTTGTATTGTCTTCTTCTTCACTTCCTCTTTTCTTGTTTCAGGTGTTGAGGAAGATTTTAGATTCTGTTTCTTACATAGATGTGGTTTTAACAAAGAATCTTTAGAATTTCTTGGACAGCCCATTTGTTTTGAAACTGTCAAGGGCTCGAAAATATTTAATGGAAACATCAGAAAGAGACAGTCATTAATTTTTTATTCATGTTATATGAAGATGGCTACTGGAACATATTGTGACCACTGGAAAGATCTCTGGAAATAGAGACAGAGGAAGACAACGCATGGAGATTCTTGACAGTCTTTTTTTTTTTTAAGGTTGTCAGCACACAAACTGATACTTGCTGTTGAAGATTAAAGATTGCGGAGAGGCATGATTACCCATCTTCACAACCTATGGTCTCCAACAGCATGTATCGGTTCATCTGCTGACACCCTTGACTACCATGAGAAAAGGCTGTTAAGAAAATCTGTTGTGGTCTTCCTCTTTCTATGCCACATGTTCCAGTCTCTTTCTTCACACAGTGTGGTAAAAAAGGATAGTTATCTCTTGATGATGTTTGTAATAAAGAATATACTTTACTCAGCTGTCATGTCTAATGTGAGCATTTTCTATGGTGTTCCAGGGCGAGGACGAAATAATTGAAGCTGTGAAGACTGCCGTCCGTGTAGGATATCGGCACATTGACTGTGCTGCTATCTATCGGAATGAACGAGCTGTTGGGCACGCCATTAAAGAGCTGATTGTGATGGGGCTGATTCAGAGGGAAGACTTGTTTGTTACTAGTAAGGTAAGCATAGTTCATCTTGTTGTTCTTATTTTTCTTCTTCTTCCTCTTCTTCTTCTTAACCAACTAAATATCAAAATATCTTCTTGAAATTTGGTGAGCATGTACATGATATATGACTGTTCACTAATGTATTATTTGTTTATTTGCAAACTTGTTCAGTCTTGCTAAATTATCATTTAATTAAAAATACTGTAAAAGTAAATTAAAAAAAATAGATGTTGATTATATAAAATATTTTCTGAACTAACCTTAAAGAAGTCCTGAATTTTGTAGTTATAGCAGTACATTGTTACAGTTAGATGCCCTACCTCTAGTTTGTCTGCACTAATAATACTTTTAAAGTTATGAAGTTTTCAATTTGGGGCTAAAATAACTAGCAAATTATAAAATTAAAATTTTTATAACTCAACTTATATTAGGTATTTCTCAAAGCCGGTGGTAGGGACCTAACTGTTTTTGTTTTAAAGCTGTGTACCAAAGTTAATTAGTTTATCTCCAGAAGTTTAGGAAAAATCACCAAAAGAACAGTCACACCCCCTAAATTTTGGCAAAGTTTTCCCTAAATTTTAAAGAGAATAATTGCATTTACTCGGCTTGAATGAGCTAATTTCCTCCAGGTAATCCTTCCTGGTGGACCTGCTTCTCATCTCTATTAAGTCTACTCGCCTTTTTAGCTATTCTGACTTCATTTAATGTATCTTTGGCTTGCTGTTGAGCATTTTTTATGCAGTGCACATCCTTATCTAGAAAAAAATCCTTATTTAAAAAACAGTCTATAGGAAACTGCCCAACACTGAGCTCCATTGCCTTCGCAATATCCAAGAATGTCCTAGTACAATACTGAAAAATCACTGCTAATGAAACAGCTGTAGTTACAACCAGTAGTTGTTTGTGGCAACTTCAGTCACTGAAAATACAATCTTACTTCCTAACCCTTACCTCTGAGTTTCAACTAATCTGAGGCTATGATGACAACTTGCACACACCATTTGTGATGAAACATTCTGACACAAAATGTCCATATAAATAATAATAATTATGTTGCCACTGGGAACAAGTTTAGATAAATAATTCCTTTCACTCTCAATAGCACTACTAAAGTCATCGGAACACTTTTGTTTATCCTCTAGATTTTCATTCATAATTGTGTCCATAAACAGAGGTAGTGCCTGGCACTTAAATATTTTGAAATTACTAAAACCTTATTTTCCTAATCATAAACTGGACAAGTGTCAGTGTCACTGCTTGAAACTAAACCACGAGGGTCCGATTGAAAAATCTACCAGTCAAAGTTGCTTTATTCTTTTCAAAGTTGCTTTGAAGCAGAAGTAAACTGGTGCCCACTTCTTTGGGACTTTACACCTCTGTTATGGAAATGGATGCATAATTATGAACTAAATACTGATCAAATATCACCAGATCTAAAGCTAAACACACAAAAATCTCGCTGTGAACACAATGCAAAATAGCGGAAGTCAGTTAGCGGAGTAATCGTTATTTATAATAAGACCACAGAAACAGGGAGTGGTGCATTGTTTTGGATTGAAAAGTACAAGAATTTTCTGTCAAATGGTGATGTTTAGCAACCCACATACACCCATTCATAATCAAAATATCTCAGGTTCTGTTGATCAGATTTTAAAATTTTAAACTGCATATGAAAATAGACATGTTCATTTACAAGGTTAGCGGCATAGAACGAGTAAAAGCAAAAATATGATATTTTTAACATTTCTAGCCAGACTGCCCCCTGAAAAAATCTGTCTTGGTGCAAATTTGACCCATGACCTTGTAAAGAGCCAGTCCTGATGTGCGGAAATTATTCGTGAACAGTCAGAAAATAAGTGGAATATTTTCTGGAAGCCACCATAAATTGTTGAAAATAGAGATTGATGAGCATGGTAAGCTAAGAACCAGGGAACCAGACCTCCAGGGTGACCCAGCTGGGAAGAAAACATCCGACAGTCCCTAACTGACAGGGGAGTGGAAATGAACAAAGCCAGAAAGAAAACTGCTTATAGAGACGTCTGGAGATCTCTCTGGCAAACCAAGGTAGACGAGGAGCGACTAAGGAAGTAGGGGATTGAAGAGAACTTTATGGATAGATAAAAGGCGCAATGATGATGTCTTGAAATAAATTAACTCACAAATAGAACTGACTATTTTCATCAGAAGAGGATATCCACATTCTTTTACATGTTGTGAGAAAGGCAAAGCTGAAATACTTTTTCACTGCAGGAAAGTTTATAACTGGGTAGAGGCAGGGGAAGACCAAGGGAAGTGTAAGGCGTTAGGGCATGGAAGAATATCTGTATCAGAAATGATTGACAGTACATAAGACAGAAGGCTGTGGATATTCAGGATTACTGATGCTACATGGTGTGTACTGTGAGAAAACAGGAATGCCTTTATGGATAAACTTTCTCTGTTTTGTCCATATTATGCTTTTTGTTGCTACGGGTTTACTGATAATCTTGGCATAACAGGTTGACAAATGATATTTTTTCTGAGCTAAGGCATGCCTGCTGCCTCCTGGTATGTTGTAATGTGGAATCTCAGGGTCTCAGTGACCCCTCGAATGCATCTTCTTCTTGGTCATCCCCTACATTCTGGTGTTTATACTTTCTTGCTGTACACTCTTGTTTCTGGCATCATTGGTTTTGTTCTCATGAAGCGGCTAAACCATTTCAGTTTTTGTTATTCAGTGATTTCAGTTATAGGTGTTCTTAAAATTTCTTCATTTCTCACATGATCTCTTCTAATTTTGTTGATGGCTTTTTTGAAACATCTTATTTTGCAGGTGGTTAGTTTTCTTTCATGTTCTTTAGTCAGTGTCCAAGTCTGAGACTATTAGCACAAAATTGGTATGAAGACTGCATTTATAATTTGCCTTTTTGTCTCTATTGGGATAGCACATTTTTGTAAAGTGAGATCTGTTGATGCGTGACATTGTTGGCTTGAACATCTGAGAATCAAGGTACCATAATTAAGACATAAATATAGCCAAAAAAGACTACATTAAAGAAAAATAGAGACATTTCACATTACAGTCAGATAGTATTTTGCGAGGGAGACCAAGCAGCCAAGAAACCATGTTTTGCGTTTGTTAAAAAGAACCATATTTAAAAAAATCACGTGGTTCTAATATATTAAAAAAAAATATCAGTTTGGATGTTGAGGAGCAGCCAGTTACACCACTGGACTCTCATGCTGGAGATCTGGGTTCAAATCCTCTGTATGGCGATGCATTTTTTTTTTCTGACAGTGGCAGAAATAAACATTCTAAGCTGCACAGCCCATGGTGGCAGCACTAGCCTTGCAGCTCTAAGTGTGAAGCCTTATAGCACCATCAAAGTATAGGCAATTAAAGCATTAAAAATTTTTTTTTTTTAGCTTTTGGATATTGAATTGTGTGTAGTTTTTAAATTAGTTTTCAGATATTAACTCTGTCAGATCCAAGCAGTTATTTTAATTCCTCAGCGCCAAGCAGTTATTTTAATTCCTTCTGTCCTAGGGTGTGAAGCTTTCCAGAGTATATATTAGGATTTGAAGAAGGTCAGTACAAACATAACATAACAGAAATAGGTAAATTTATCATTCAGATACCTAGGGTTAATATAACACTGGTTTTTTTATCAAAGAATAGAAGAACTTTATGATATCTTGTAAATTACCAAGAAACCTATGGTGGATTTCTTGGTAGGGAAAGAGTTAAATGTGTGTGCATCCTGTTTTAATGTTTCTGTATCACTTTTTTTACCAGCTGTGGAATACATGCCATAAGCCTGACCTGGTCATACCCAGCCTGAAAAAGACACTGGAAGATTTGGGTTTGGAGTATATTGACCTGTACCTCATTCACTGGCCCATGGCCTATCAGGTATTGTAATGTGTGTGTGTAAAATAATGTCACTTGAGGTGAGAAAATAAGTGTTAAAATACTGTATTGATCGATCGATCAGTTTGTCTCTCCCGGATGCTAATAAAAGGTTTACTACAGTAAAGTAAATAACTTTTCCAGACCTTCACTCCAGGTGCACTGGATGTGTAGGGCTAGACCTGTTTTTATAGACCAGTTGGTAAAAGAACCTGGTGCCACAATGCCAGAAATATGTTGAAGTCAATGGTGTATATGTTGAGAAATATGTTCACTTTTGTCTGCAAAAAATCATTTTTATTTATGATGGTTTTTAGTTTTTTAATTTTATTCCAGGACTTACTTAAAAAACATGCCTTGTATCTTCTTTCTTCTTTGCGTTTAGCAACTGTAAACCCTGGTTGTTCATCCACTTCTGGACTGCAGTCCTGTTCCAGAACCTGAGTGTTTTCTGTGCATTCGTTTTACAGATCTGACTCATTTGTATGCAGACTGTTGGTTCCTTGCCTCTCAGGCAGATGCACTCCGACTTCGAAGGAAGCTCCCAATTAGTCGACTCTTATGACATGCTTTTGGGTAGGCAGTGGGTCTATTCTTGTTTTTGCCATAGTAGGGCCCCGGAACCCACACAGGGGTAGATGTCATTTAAATTCTCTCACCTTTGATTTTCTGTTTCTCTCACGTTCTCTTGTCCACTTCTACTTCTTGTGCTTTTTGTATTCCTTTATGCGGGTGCGGGAAAGTCAGTGTGCAGTAATTTGTGAATATTGTTGCTGCAGGAGGGAGGTGAACTGGTCCCATTGAATGAACAAGGCAAAACTTTGAACTCAGATGTTGATTATGTTGACACATGGCAGGTATTTATTCTTGTTTTCTGTTTTAAAATTATTGTTATTGCATTTAGAATTTGTTGTAGGTAATTGATCTCTCTCTCACCGGGTGACGCCGGTGTGTTGGGAAATGAACAGGCGGACAGACTGGCTGGCTCTGCACAACTTGGTGAAATACTGCTACATGATAGGGCAGACGTGGTTAGTGCCTTGTGGGAGAGCGTGTACAATGCGGAGGAGCAGATGGATCACCACAGTTTGGTGAGATTGATGCAGTTGGGGGTGACGAGAGGTTCTGGCAGAAGCTCAAGGCTCAGAGGAAAGGCAAGACGGACATTTAATCAGAAAGCTACTGGCACCATTAGTATCAGAACTCTTCGCTGGCTGCTGAAGATGGAGATGGAGCGCTTATGAGAATGCCCCGGGTGCTGTGATGTCGGTTCTTGAATCAAATCAAATCAAATCAAATCTCTCTCAAGACCGACATATAATCAAACTGTTACTGGTACTCTGAGAATTCAAACTTTGAACTGGGGCGGGGGCTGAGGACATAGCAATTATTTTAGGGCTGTGAGGCTGGTCGTTAATACAGCTCAGCATACCTACACAGGCTGAGTTTGTCCTGACACCACTAGCACACTTGGATTTTCACAACAGACACCTAACATATCCTTCAGACAGACTTGACTTTTTACCCCACCAGGACATCACACTGAGCGATAAACACCTGATGACACAAAGTGCCACCATTCGGATGAGGATCACACATGGAGAGGGCCCGGAAACCCTGTTCAGCCATTAGGTTATATTAGGGTCCCCAGAAACAACCTGGATGGGATTTCAAAATAACGAAAAATTCATCCCACATGGGGACAGAGCTCAAAATATATTTTTCAGGATTGCCAGATTGTTTTTTATTTTTTAACTGATTGTGCTTGAGACCACAGAAACAAAAACTTACAGAAAGCTGGTTGCCACCATCAACTAGCTGTCAGTAATACACAAAACAATGGCTTGGACATGTTTACAAAATGCTCCTTGAAATTTTGGCAAGGATAACTCTCTGATAGATGGCATATGAAAAGTGTGTTGCTGTTTGCTCCTACCAGGAATGCTTTCCTTCTCTTATTATTTTTTTTTTTTTTTTCTCTATTTGTTTACTCTAGTTATTTATGTGGGGTTTTTTTTTAAAGACTTTCCTTATTTCTTTACTCTAATCATTATTGTGTTTTTTTTTTGGGGGGGGGGGGGGGGGGGGGATTCTGCCTAATTTCTTTAATTATTGATGTTTTCTGGTCTCACTTTATGTCTTTATTAATTGATGTGTCTTTGGTTTCCCGTTATTTCTTTACCTTAATTATTGATGTGTTTTGGGTCTCACTTCTTTTCTTTACTCTAATTATTTATGTATTTTTAGTCTCCTTTTATTTATAGTCCAATTATTAATGTTATTGGTCTCCGTTTATTTCTTTACTGTAATTTTTGTTTCTGGCCTCCTCCTATTTGTTTACTCAAATTATTTATGTATTTTTAATCTCCCACTTTTTCTTTACTCTAATTATTGTTTTATTTTGTCTGTCTTTGTTTCTTTACTCTAATTATTGTTTTATTTTGTCTGTCTTTGTTTCTTTACTCTAATTATTGGTGTGTTTTTAGTCAGTCTTTATTTCTTTAATTATTGATGTTTATTCTGGTCTCCTCTTATTTCTTTACTGTAATTATTGTTGTAATTTTGCTCTTGTTTTATTGTTTACTTTAATTCAGTGGTTCTCAACCTTCCTAATGTTGCTACCCTTTAATACAGTTCCTCATATTATGGCAACCCCCAACCTTGCTACTTCATAACTTTAATGAATATTTGTTTTGCGATAGTCTTTTGCAACTCCTTGGGTCTTTAGACCCCCCAAAAAAGGGTCGCACCACATAGGTTAAGAACCGCTGCTCTAGTTATTGGTTTTCTGGTCTCTCTTTGTTTCTTTACTGTAATTATTGATGTGTTTTTTGTCTTCCTTTATTTCTTTACTCAAATTGTCAATGTGTGTGCTTTTTATTTGTTATTTTTGAAGTCTTCCTTTATTTCTTTACTCAAATTGTCAGTGTGTATGCTTTTTTTTTTTTTAATAAGTCCTTCCCTCATTTCTTCTTTATGTAATTATTAATCTTTGTTTAAATGCTGCATCACAATTTTATCAGCAAATAGAAATCATTTCTTTAAAAAAATGTTTCATTAGTATATACTGTGATAGTCCTGTCTCTGACTGAGGTAGCGGTTATTTTCAGTGTTTTAATTTAATCACAGGCGATGGAAGATTGCAGGGATATGGGTCTGACCAAAGACATAGGACTAAGCAATTTTAACAGAAGGCAAATAGAGAGAGTACTTGAAGTTGCCAGAATACCACCTGTAGTCTTACAGGTAAGTTATGAGTTAACATTCGGTCCGCATGCCTTTCTGGAGCAGTTGGTACCAGGGCATTCTAGTCAGATGGCCAAACTGTCTTATCTGACGTTCTTTAATGAACTGTATGGCTGGTCCTAGTTTTCAAATTAATTGTTTTAATATTATCTCTTTTTGTTACTTTGGCAGTCTTCTAAGACACCTGATCAACAGGTGAACTTCTTCTGTCCTACTGCTTATGCTGCAAAGTGTTGCAGAGAGGAGTTATATATAGTTTGCTGACTTTTGCCAGTTGTGTAGCTTCTGTTAATTTTATATTGCATTTCTGTAATGTCTCTTTTGCTCCCTCCACCCATCTCTTTCTTGGGTGGCCTCTTGACTTGTAGCCTGCTGCTGTCATGTAGTACACTCTATCTGCTTCCAGATTTTCTTCCATTCTGACCACATGACCAGACCAGCTGATTCTCTGATGTTCTATGAAATCATTTAGCAGTTCAGTGCTTCCATGTGTCTTAGCTGTTCGTTGGTGACTGTTTGTGTTTTTCCCTTGCCACATTTCTATACATCTAATCTCTTATGTTGTAATTCTGCATTTATGCTTTTGTAGGCCTGTCTTTTCTGACATTGATAGCTTAACTCTTTGAGCCCCAAGGAACGCATCATACGTTCATAGGTTCCTACCTAGAAGCCCAATAAATGCATGATGCACCAATTGTATTACTTTCTTTACTACCCCCTGGGCCTGTGATGCTAAACCCCCTGTTCAGTCCTTCATTCTCAGTGAATACACTGCCTTCGCTTGTTTTAATGTCTCTTCCTCAACAGTGATGATATGTTGAACTGATTTTCCATTTTCTATCCTTATTTCTGATTTTTCTTTTTTCAAAATTTATGCAGACTATTGGTACCTCACCCCTCAGGCTATAACATTTTTTTTTAAAGTTAGTGGGTCTGTTGTCTCCTCTTAAAATGAGGCTTCAGAACCCACACATTTTACATAGTGAAGAGTAAACAAAGAAGATATAAATAAATACAAGATTTAACCACTTTTTTCAGCTAGTCTTTTTTCACTGGAATACTAAATAGTATTTAACTAGTAAACACAGTACAACTGTGAAATGAGGTCTGCATTTACTACTCAGTTAGTCTTTTCCCTATATTTTGTACTCTGTTGAAAAAGACTGGTTGAATCATTTGGATGTATTTATGCATGTCTTTTCTGTTCCTTTTGTTGATCTTTCTAGTCAGAGTTTGTTTTGTATTTACTACTTGTTTATATTATTTAGCAACTGAATTTAATAATTTCAGATTTTCTTGTGTTGAAAATATTTTTATTTCTTCTTGAAATCAACAGATTGAGGTGAATTGCCGTATCACAAATTCCAAACTTATTGAATTTGCCAAGTCCAAAAATATTGTTGTTGTAGCATATGCACCTCTTGGAGCACCCAATATTGAGTGAGTTCCTTCTCTTATCAATGTATTTTCAACATCAGTATTACCAGTAGTAATATAGACATTATTATTATCAATGTTATCAAAGCTTTAGCAAATAAAGTGCAGGATGTGGAATTATTATTTTTATCCACCCATAACTGACCTCTTGAACTTCAAGGAAGTTCATCATCATCATCCCCTAACACTACGTGTTGTTGGGTCACCAGTTTCTGCTGACTGTCTGATCAGCTCTCTCCACCTTTGGCGGTCAGCTGCGATGGACTTCGTGGTTGCATGCCTGAGGCCTGTCCAGTCAGTCAGGTTCTGTAACCAGGTCTTTCTTGGTCTGCCTTTTCTCCTCTTTCCATCTACTGAGCCCTGCAGTATTGTTTTTGAGAGGCCCTTAGATCTCATTACATGTCCATACCATTGCATTTCTCACCTTTTCACTGTAGTTAAAAGAATTGTAAGGTGAATGTCTTCATTTGTAATGTTGTTTCTATTTGATATGCCAAGAATTTTTCTGAAACATCGCATTTCTTTCTTTCAAGTTCAGCTGTTAAAATCCAGCTGATTAAAGTAATAGATTAATTTACCTTTTTTTTTTTTAGCAATTGTGCTTGCTAAGGAAACACAAAGAAACTCATTAGCAAGCAGTTAAAATTTAGTTGGGTATCCTTGGCATGATGTTGCAGAACCAACCCCAGCATGTTTCGGCGGTTGTGGGTTTTTCCTGGCAAATGTTACGTTCAGTTGTTTGCCATTGTTTCCTGAACAGTCAGCTCTCAGTACCACTGTTGAAACCAATGCAAGACAAATCGTCCACGGCTGGGATCGAACCTTAGCGAAGAAGAAGCAGCTTTTAAAAGTCTAAACAAAATATGGGACTAAACTTTATATACCATTTTCACTTTAAACTGAAATTTTTTCAAATCAAACTAGATGATTTTCCAACCACCTAGGATGTTTTTCAAATTAAACTGGACATTTTTCAAAAATATACAGGACATTTTTCAAATCAAACTGGATGATTTTCAAACCACCTAGGACATTTTATCAATCTAACTGGATATTTTTCAAATTATACAAGACATTTTTCAAATCGGACTGGATGATTTTTAAACCACCTAGGACATTTTTCAAATCAAACTGGACATTTTTCAGATCATACAGGATGTTCTTCAAACCAAACTGGATGATTTTCAAATCAAATATGACACTTTTCAAAGCCAACTAGACACAGTTATCACTTCTTAACAAAGAAAGAAAGGACAAAGAAAATGACATCTCACAAGATGAAAGGTTGTCCTGCTGCTGGTGTAGTCAAGTTCATCATCATATGGAGGACGTAATTTGTGCAAACTTGCTGTGCTACTGTTCCTAAGCTTTCTTCAGTGGCCTTGCTTAGTGTCTGTTCAGGCTTCGGATTGCACAGCAGGCACTTCAGTCATGCCTTTACCTTGAAGAACAGGTTTTCTGTCAGGTTCGGTATGTAGGAGTAAGGTGACAGGAACTTGAGATGATAGGACGAGCCCAGGATTCTCTGTAGATCATCTGGTTTCAGGATTCTGGCATTGTCTGTTATCAGCCATTGTTCAGCTCCTCCCTGCCACCTATACGCGTCACAAGCTCTTCGACAAATGTGCCGAACTTTTTCGCCATTGCAGGTGCCGTCATCGATGATCTTTGAGTGAACTATGCCTTGGTTGTTAACCCTCTTAGCACGGACGGGCCGATTATCGGCCTGCAGATGTCTGGCCAAAAACACGGAACCCCCGATCATCGGCCCGATCGTGTTTCGCCTCGAACCGCTAAGAAATCTCCTATTTTGAAACACTGGAAATGATTCATTCATATTCACTGCTGTATTAGCTTTACACATGGCGACTTTCTAGTGTTTGGTATCGATGTGAAAATTGTTGTTGAATTTTTAGATTGTGACCTGAACCGCTAAAAGTATGTCTGACTCGCATGTTTCTGCCCCTAAACTTGTTGTTGATAAAACATTTGAATCAAGTGATGACACTAATTCTGTTGATACTGATGCAGGATCTAGTGTTAGTAGTAATAGTGGGGAATCAGTTGGGGACGCTGTTGTGTTCAGACCACAGCCCAACTATGGCTCAGGGTATATCCACCCAAAGGTGTTGACCTTCAGGCACATCCATTTCTAGTGCTGACTGATGGTGAAAAACACATGTCACCTAAAGATATTATTGCTGTTTCACATATATACCTGTTTTTGACTATTGAATTGCTTACAAAATTTGTAAAAAGGCCAAAGATCAATAAAAAGATTTCAAATAAAATATATTTTTGTTTTTAGTTATATGTTTCATGCATCGAAGTTGAAAATTCACATTCTAATTTTCTTTTTTTAGATATGCAAATGAGATAATTTGCATATACATCAATTAATTTTTACGATTTTGTGAAAATCATGAACTTCAATCTATATCCTTCAAATAGATATGTTATTTCATGGGGGTCAGAATAACAGAAATGTGTCAAAAAAATTAAATAAAGTAATAACCAAATTTACTGAAAAAATGCTCCGTGTTTTTGGCTAGACATCTGAAAAACTTCCCGTGCTAAAAGGGTTAATGGCCACAATTAGTGTCACCATACAGCCTCTCACTGTGTGCAGGATAATGTTTGATCGTGTCCATCTCCTCGAGCGAGCCTGTGTCCGTCGTAAAGGAAGATTGAATCCACAATTATCATTGAAGATGCACTTCTCCTTGTCTTGTTGAGCATGCGCTGAGAAGTCGAGAGCATAAGTTTGCCGGCTTAAAATCGTCGTGATGCTGTTGATGCGGCCACGTTCGTAATGGTACTTCTTTTGGGTGATCTTAAGCTTTTTGAGGTCAGTGAAAATTAAAAATACGGCCAAATCAGTCCCGTTCTTCTTCACTCGCTGCTGTTTCTGCACCAAGGGTATACCTTTTAACAATATTTTCAATGCTTTGCAAGACATTGTGTGTCAGCTTCTCTTTGTTATTGCCACCGCAGTTCCGCTGAAAAATGGCATCTTCTCATTTGTAGGTACTGATCATGTTTCTTGCTGTGCTCTCTTTGATACCAGCGACTTGAGCTGCCTTGTGGGTAGTTTTTCCATCATCTAACACAAGCTTAATAAGAACCATTTTATGCACTAAGGAAGTTCGCTTACACCGTCGTTGCCTCATATACCAGTCGTTGTAAGGTTGGTTGCTCATTTTTGGGTGCTTCACTAAGTTTACAGGACTGTACAATAAATAGATTTAAAACATTCCAGAAAGAATTACGTAATGTGTCTTCCAGAATATCTCGAAAGCTCCAGCATATCCCCGATTTTAGGCATTGAAAACTGTTCTTTTTTAATTTTGTCCAGTTTGGTTTGAAGGATGTCCGGTTTGATTTGAAAAAGGTCCTGAGTGGTTTGAAAATCGTCCAGTTTGATTTGAAAAATGTCCTGGATGATTTGAAAAGTGTCCACTTTGATTTGAAAAACATGCTAGGTGGTTTGGTCGCGGGAGGAATAATTTGCGATCTAGTGCACCCTGGTTGCCATTAGCCGTTGAGATGCCATGAAGGCGTAGTGTCTTTAATGTTGTGAATCCACATTTTTCCTCTTGTTCTTGAAGACGATCTTCTGAGATGAAGTGCCTGTGGTGGTATTTGACCTTGCCGCATTCTAACAAAGTGAATTATGTCACCAGTATTTTTCTACCAGTGCTAAACTCTCCCATCTTGTGTTCTATGACTTCAGGTGGATGATATTATGTTCCTATTCTTGCTTTCTTTCTTCCTTCTGTTTTATCCCCTCCTGGCTGCTACTTGAAGGTTCAACTGCCCTGAGATTGCAAAAATCTCTTTCCTGGTGGACAGCCAGCATGGCAAATTCTAGACACCCCAGTCAACCTTCAAAGAAGTTAACTCTTTGAGTCCCAGGGGTTTAGCGTCAAAGGCCCAAGGGGTGGTAATGCAATTTTTTTTATTTCTCAAGTGTAACACATTAAAACAGACCATACTGATTCAACATACACATATTATATATCAAAGTGACTAGGGATTGTTAAGGAATAATTCTAGAATACAGCTTCAGCAAATAATTGCATTAGTAATTAAATTTTAGTAAATAGACTGTATGTTTACAAAAATTAGTAAAATGATATTTTTAAAATTTCCAATTACTACCATGGCATTCAGGAAAAACTGGATAAAATATATCTAAACTGAATTACAAATGAATATGAACCACTTGGTAATGTATAAGTAAAATATGAACTCAATCTATACATTAGATTTTGCTCCATCATAACAGAGCACCATTATTTAAAACTGACTCCCAAAACAATAAGTATCTTCACACAAAACAAAGTTTATATAACACTTAAATTGCCTGTAATTTTGTAGCTATTTTCCTAAATAATAAGGGGAATAGCACTAGAACTAACTGACACTGAAGAAAATTGTCTTTTCACTAATGTTTATTCTATTTGTGCCATTGACTTTGCTGTCATTGTACTCTTCGTGTGAGGTACACATTATACATATCCCTCAAAGTTTTACTCTATAAATGACTGAAACAAGTCTAATTCGCAACGTTATATATCTGACTTCAGATAAATCTAACAAACACATACTTTATTTAAATTTGAGGCTTCTAAAGCCGTAAATCATGTTAGCATACATGTAGAATGTTACTTGGCGGCCATATTCTTTTCAAACAAACACTTAGTAACTCGGAAACCTCGCAAATATACTATATTTTCGGTTTTTAAAGCAGGTTTCTAAATGAGCATGCCTGATATCAGACACAAAGAACTCGAAAGGAAGTTGAAACTGAGCAGTCCGCGTTTTATTATCGGTCAGTGGTAGATGAAAAACCTTCACTTGTCGCATGTCGATTGGGCCGCCCGGTTGTAACAAATTAGATCGTGATGTGTTCTCTTGGACTCAAAGAGTTACAAAGCACCCAAGAAAAATTCTTGGCATATCAAACTGAGACAACATCACAAGTGATGAGGTTTGTCATGTAATGAACTAGCAACTTAGCAACTATGAACCTCTTTTAACTGCATTGAAAAGATGAGAAATGCAATGGTACGGACATGTAGAAAGATCGAACGGCCTCTCAAAAACATTACTATAGGGCTTATTAGAGGCAGAGCAAGAAAGGCCTGGATACAGAACTTGATTGAATGGACAGGCCTTAGGCATGCAACCATGACATTCATAGCATCAACCATCAAAGGGGGAGGAAGCTGATCTGATAGTCAACAGCAAACTGACAACCTAACGTCATGCAGTGTTGTGGGATGATGATGACGATGTCTACACGCCTTAGTGAAGCATGCAGTCCTCTATGGACTTGGAGCTATTTTGTGATCCATACCAGCCATATTTAGGAGTATAGGGAACCTAGGCTTGTATTTCCAGCCATATATTTTGCTAGTGGCTTACTTACTTACTTAGTCAATCCTCTTCTACCCTGGGGTGTAGAGGTTTGCCAGAGAGATCCACAGACTCTCTATCAGCAGTGTTCTTTTGGCTTTGTTCCATTCCAGTCCTCTGTCAAACAGGGACTGTCAGGTGTTGCCTTCTCAGCAACCTTGGGTTATCCTGGAGGTCTGGTTACCTGGTGTTTGACCTCCAATGCCTGCATACATGTCCAAACCATCAGAACTGACTGATCCACTTGAGTTTGTCAGGCCTGGATGTAAAGATCATAACATTTTGTCTGATTGTGTAACTTGGCCTCTGCCTTAGTTTTTTTGCATATGTATTTTGTTCAGTATAAACTTGATGATATCTATCCATTTGTTACTTGGTCATTCTCTGTGTATGTAACCAAAACATTTTTGTATGATCTTTTCAGATGTTGTCTCTTGATGAATTTGTACAAGATCTTTTATGTGTAACAATTTCATTAATGTATAGTTTTTGAATTCTGAAGGAAATTATGCAACTTAATTTATGAAGTCACTTGAAATTAGTTTTCAATAAATAAATAAGGGTTGCTATTCAATTTGTTTCTAAAATATTTTCAGTGATGGCAACGTGAAACTTATTGATGAACCTGTTGTGAAAGAAATTGCAGAAAAGTACGGAAAAACACCTGCTCAGGTAAAACACAAAGATTACCGTATTTACCCATGTATAGACCGCGGTATTTTAACCGAAAATTGTTGATGAAAAATAGAGTGAGGCTTGTAATAAAGATATTAGACCTACCTGTTACTTGTACAAAGTTTATTAATAAACAGGAGTTTATTGCAACTCACTTTTAATGCAAGCCGTTGCAACAATTTTTACAAGCAACACAGAACTACAGAAAAGGGTCCTTGCAACACTTTATACAAGCAATACAACACTGTAGAAAAGGGTCCTTGCAACACTTTATACAAGCAACACAATACTATAGAAAAGGGTCCCTGCAACACTTTATACAAGCAATACAACACTGTAGAAAAGGGTCCTTGCAACACTTTATACAAGCAACACAATACTATAGAAAAGGGTCCCTGCAACACTTTATACAAGCAATACAACACTGTAGAAAAGGGTCCTTGCAACACTTTATACAAGCAATACAATACTATAGAAAAGGGTCCTTTCACTTTATACAAGCAACACAACACTGTAGAAAAGGGTCCTTGCAACACTTTATACAAGCAACACAACACTAGAAAAGGGTCCTTGCAGCACTTTATACAAGCAACACAATACTGTAGAAAAGGGTCCTTGCAACACTTTATACAAGCAACACAACACAGTAGAAAAGGGTCCTTGCAACACTTTATACAAGCAACACAACACAGTAGAAAAGGGTCCTTGCAACACTTTATACAAGCAACACAACACAGTAGAAAAGGTCCTTGCAACACTTTATACAAGCAACACAACACTGTAGAAAAGGGTCCTTGCAACACTTTATACAAACAACACAACACAGTAGAAAAGGGTCCTTGTAACACTTTATACAAGCAACACAACGCTAGAAAAGGGTCCTTGCAACACTTTATACAAGCAACACAACACTAGAAAAGGGTCCTTGTAACACTTTATACAAGTAACACAACACAACACTAGAAAAGGGTCCTTGCAACACTTTATACAAGCAACACAACACTAGAAAAGGGTCCTTGCAACACTTTATACAAGCAACACAACACTGTAGAAAAGGGTCCTTGCAACACTTTATACAAGCAACACAACACTAGAAAAGGGTCCTTGCAACACTTTATACAAGCAACACAACACTGTAGAAAAGGGTCCTTGCAACACTTTATACAAGCAACACAACACTGTAGAAAAGGGTCCTTGCAACATTTTATACAAGCAACACAACACTAGAAAAGGGTCCTTGCAACACTTTATACAAGCAACACAACACTGTAGAAAAGGGTCCTTGCAACACTTTATACAAGCAACACAACACTAGAAAAGGGTCCTTGCAACACTTTATACAAGCAACACAACACTGTAGAAAAGGGTCCTTGCAACATTTTATACAAGCAACACAACACTGTAGAAAATGTCCTTGCAACACTTTATACAAGCAACACAACACAGTAGAAAAGGGTCCTTGCAACACTTTATACAAGCAACACAACACTGTAGAAAAGGTCCTTGCAACACTTTATACAAGCAACACAACACTGTAGAAAAGGGTCCTTGCAACACTTTATACAAGCAACACAACACTGTAGAAAAGGTCCTTGCAACACTTTATACAAGCAACACAACACACTAGAAAAGGGTCCTTGCAACACTTTAAATAAGCAACACAACACAGTAGAAAAGGGTCCTTGCAACACTTTATACAAGCGACACAACACTGTAGAAAAGGGTTCTTTACTACTTATTTACATTGTACAACTTTTGTTGTTGCTATTGTTATGAGAAACTAAAACAAAACTTCTCTTTAGGTTTTGCTTAGGTTTGTCATTCAGCTAGGTTTAGCTGTGATTCCAAAAAGTACCAACCACAAACGGATTGAGGAAAATAGCAAGGTGAGTTTCCATAAGAACATTAACATAACATAACCCTTGACTCGTTTGGGTCATGGAGGAATATCGATGGAAGCACTAGCACACAAAACCCGCCATCTTTCTCTGTCTTCTGCTTGTTGAATAAGTGTATGATAACTTAGTTCTGTCTCTTTCTTGTCATTCCAGGTTCTTCTTTGCCCTCCTCTTCTTTGACTACCCCCTTCCATCCCCAGGGTTCCTTGAAGTACAGTCTTTGCAATGGAAAAATGTCTCACCAAGTGCCTGACCCACGCTAGCCTGCAAGGTTTCACCACTGCCAAGAGAGGCTCCTGTTGTCCTGCATATTTGTTTTTGTCTTTCTCTGACATATTTGTTAGTTTTGTATTCTGAATAACTAACCCGCGTATGTATACTCAGTGATTCAATGAGTATGATCCAGGGGGTTCAGGCAGGTTCGGTGCGAAGACAGTGATTTGAATCATTACAGAAGTCCACTGTGCGAGGAGTCACCTTTATTTTTGTTCCGGGACATGTGGGCGTCGATGGAAATGAAAGAGCTGACAGGTTAGCTGGATCCACTATCACTACAGACGGTCTGCCTATGGATCATGCTGATATTATTAATGCCCTCAGAGAAATGGGAAGGATAGTGGACTTTGGTGGCAGTGAATCCACATCACTCGCCAGAATGGCAGACTTGGGAATTAAGATCGGCATAACAAAAAACAAGACGCACACCAGACATGCCAGAAGACTTGTTAATCAACATAGAACTGGTACTATTAGCCATCGGACTTTGGTGTTCATACTGAGGGGAGGATCTGAGCACCTATGGACATGTCCGGAGTGCAATGATGATAACCTAACTAACTAATTAATCTGAATAACTAAAAGCATAGGATCAAATCTGAAAGGATTATAAATTTCTGGACTGATTTATTGTGCTTATCTCTTTTGTCAAAGATCAAATGGATTTGATGGGTACCTTTACATCTTTCCTAATGATTTTGTCCTGTTGTGCTGTTGGAAGGTCGGGAATTCACATCCCTTGGCAATGGCAGGTGTGACCAGCAAGACCTGCTAACGTTAAGAAACGTCTTCCACAGTTAGAGCATGGGATTTCAGGACCTCTGTTGCCATTGCATGTATTTCCTACAATAGGCTTCTTCTCAGATGCGCGGCTCTTAACTTATATGGAAATATTTTATCCGTTTCCCTCCTGATTGTTTCCGGCCATGTAATTGTATCCTGCCATGTAACTGTCCCCCACCATGTAAGTGTCTCTCGCCATGTAACTGTCTCCCGCCATGTTAAATGTCTCCCGCCAATATAAGTGTCTCCCGCCATGTAACTGTCCCCCACCATGTAAGTGTCTCCCGCCATGTAACTGTCTCCCGCCCTGTAACTGTCTCCTGCCATGTAACTGTCTCCTGCCATGTAACTGTCTCCTGCCATGTAACTGTCTCCCGCCATGTAACTGTCTCCTACCATGTAACTGTCTCCCGCCATGTAACTGTCTCCTACCATGTAACTGTCTCCTGCCATGTAACTGTCTCCCGCCATGTAACTGTCTCCTACCATGTAACTGTCTCCCGCCATGTAACTGTCTCCTACCATGTAACTGTCTCCTGCCATGTAACTGTCTCCTGCCATGTAACTGTCTCCTACCATGTAACTGTATCCCGCCATGTAACTGTCTCCCGCCATGTAACTGTCTCCCGCCATGTAACTGTCTCCTGCCATGTAACTGTCCCCCGCCATGTAACTGTCTCCCGCCATGTAACTGTCCCCCGCCATGTAACTGTCTCCTGCCATGTAACTGTCTCCTGCCATGTAACTGTCTCCTGCCATGTAACTGTCTCCTGCCATGTAACTGTCCCCTGCCATGTAACTGTCCCCTGCCATGTAACTGTCTCCTGCCATGTAACTGTCTCCCGCCATGTAACTGTCTCCTGCCATGTAACTGTCCCCCGCCATGTAACTGTCCCCTGCCATGTAACTGTCTCCTGCCATGTAACTGTCTCCCGCCATGTAACTGTCCCCTGCCATGTAACTGTCTCCTGCCATGTAACTGTCTCCCGCCATGTAACTGTCCCCTGCCATGTAACTGTCTCCCGCCATGTAACTGTCTCCCGCCATGTGACTTTCTCCTGCCATGTAACTGTTATGTTATCACAATCGACATCACTGCACACTGGGCATTCCCAAGTATGCTCAGTCTTTTGATGCAGCAGCCACTCCAGCGTACCTCAACTGATTGTTTCTATTAGTTATAGTATATTGATTTTCGATTCGGCCTGAACTAGTTACCAGGAAAGTGTTCTGGGGAAAACAACTGCAATGAGGTTCATCACATCATCTGTTTAAATACCGATTTGTCTATAAAAAATATGAAAGTAGCACCAGCCCTTTTCTTATAGAAAAATGAGGTGCCGGTACTCACCACAAAATGTCTAATTACAAAAGCATTGAACAAAATTATGCCTGAAAAAAAAGATGCTGTACTGCATACCATTCATATTACATCCCCAGTTCGGAATGACATTTTTTTTTTAATTTGAAGCCCCACCCTGACTGTTGCCAGGGGCCCTAATATAACCCAACCTGTGGGTGGAACAGGGTTTTTGGGACTTGTCCCTGGGTGATCCTCATCCGAATGATGACACTGGGTGTTTATCACTTGGTGTGATGACCTGGTGGGGTAAAACATCAATCAATCATGCCATTGCATACCACATGAAAAAAGCCATGAGAAACACCATTTGCTCCTTTGCCCTTAAATGAATGAAGAGGTCTTTTATTTAATTTTTACTCTTGTTTCAAATAGTAAAAAGTAAATAAATGACATTTTAAATTAATTTAGAGGCATATAGCATATAATCCCTGTTGACGAATTACAAGAAATCAAAAGTTTGAATCGTTCTATGCTAAATCCCTCCCCGTCGCTTTTTCTGTCTGTCTTTCTTTGCCTGCGTATTTAGTGTGATAATAATAGAGTAAAATTTTGTTTGCTTCGTTAGGTGTTTGACTTCAAACTGAGTGATGAAGACACATCCAGGCTAGCTGCACTCAACAAGGGACATCGTGGTTACTCTGAGTCGAGGTAAGTATTCTTCAAATAGTTAGATAATGAGAACAAACATGTTGCAAAATATTCGCTAGTATATTTCTTTAATGTTATTACAATCGACGTCTATGCACATTTGGTATTCCATGCATGCTCAGTCCTCTCAAGCAGCAGCCAGTCCAAAGTACACCTACTAATTGTTCCAATGAGGAGCTAGTTATAATGTCTCCTACCTCTGCATCAGAAATGGCATAGACCTGCTTCACCTTGCTTTACTCCTGGGTCATGCAGTTGTGTTAGTGTCAAGAGATTCATCACTATCCACTGGCCTAGTCCGTACAGAACTGATGATATCTGCTGTATCCATGCTTCTTCTCAAATGTGTTAGTGCATTGCTTGCCAGTTGGTCTGCTCGTTGATTACCTTTCGTGTAGATGTATCTCATCATGTTCATTACTACAGAGTTTGCATGAATATATAATGAATCCTTCAGCTGAAATACTCAGATTATATTGTCTTTTGATACACTGGTTGTCTCACCATAGAAGTCTAAGATCAGGGCTGTTCACCGAAGCTTTCACTGGTAAACACCTGGCTTAGCACAACTTGGTGGAATACTGATGAATGATAAGGCAGACATGGTTAGTGCCTTGTGGGAAAGCGTGTACAGTTCGGTGGAGCAAATGGATCACCACGGTCTAGTGAGATTGATGCAGCGGGGAGTGACGAGAGGTTCTGGCAGATGCTTGAGGATCAGAGGAAAGGCAAGACGGACATTTAATCAGAATGCTACTGGCACTATTAGTATCGGAACTCTTCCCTGGCTGCTGAAGATGGGGATGGAGTGCTTATGGGAATGCCCCGAGTGCTGTGATGTTGATTCTGGAATCAACTCAACTCTATTCACCTAAGCCTACCAAGGGGCCAAAATTTTGAAAATGGGGATAGTCATGGGTCATTGGTCTGAGCTCCAGCATTGAAAGATCATTAATACATTAAAATTGGCAGTGATCCACAGGCCACTTACTAGGCCTCTGGGGGCCAGATGTGGCCTGCGGGCCGTCAGTTGAATAGCCCTGATTTACTTTAACCACGTGATAACCACAAAAGTCTTAGAGTAATCACTAATTACTGGTATCATGAGTGCTGATAAAGAGAATGGCAAAGACAGACACACACACACATGCACGCGCGCGCGCGCGCGCGCACACACACACACACACACACACACACACACACACACACACACACACACACACACACACACACACACACACACACACACACACACACACACACACACACACACACACACACACACACACACACACACACACACACACACACACACACACACACACACACACACACACACACACACACACACACACACACACACACACACACACACACACACACACACACACACACACACACACACACACACACACACACACACACACACACACACACACACACATATATATATACACATATATATATATATATATATATGCTTCACAGAAAGAAGTTAATGGGAGTAGATCATGAGGAACGAATGAATGAACAAATAAACAAACTAAATTTTCAGAGGGTTAAAAATTGGGCACACAGGCTTGTCTTACATTCTGCCCCTTTTGGCCTCACTGTATTCCATTCATCCCTAATTTTAGCGGATAGTAAAAATAAACATCATCAACTACATCTTAGTTACCACTGCTGGAATTTGCTCTTAAAATACCTACATTTTAAAACAGTATTAATACTAAATATAATGAGGAAGACCAAGTAGACAGTGGACAGATAATATACCTACAAACACTTAGAGTCACCAACTGGAAAGAGAAAGCCAATCACAAAGATGAGTGGAGGCGGGTGATATTTGCAGCAGTAAGCCACAAGGGCTTGGAATACTGAAGAAGAAAAAGAATTTGAAACTGGGTTAACCTTAGAG